TTATTAGCACACCTATACTTTGACAACATAATACAATAAATGCCTAATCGCTTCTTTCTCTACGATATTAAGATGCCTTTTCAAAGTTGAATACTTTCTCTTCTGCATCGAAATGATATTGCTAATTAAAACATAAAGAGATATAATTTTTCCATTGATTTTATAACCCTAATTTTCCACTTCATTTCGACATCAAAGAAGAAAAGCCCCTTTTTATATTCGAAAGAAGTTACAAAACGTAAATATCGCCATTGTTGAATAATGCTTCTTAAACTAATTTCATAGAGCATTAAAGGCATTGAATAGTAACAAAAGTAACATTTGATGTAAAATCAATTACCTTATGATTTTTAGGCCTAGTGAAAATAATAGGAAAACTAGAGGTAAGTCTCTTCTGGCTTCAGGAAATTGGCCTTAAGCCATTTTCTTAGCCTTCTATTTAATAATTAAGGAAAATTAGCTCCAAGGTTGTGTTTTTCCATTGTTCACCATTCATTGTTATTATTTTATTAAAATTTTTAAGTGAATTTGAAGATGGGAAGTGAATATTAATTTAGTCTATAAATTAGATAGAGAGAGAGAGAAAGAGAGAGATAGAGACTGAGACAAAGATAGATATATATAAAGTATATATACTAATATATAAAGAATATGCAATCCATTAATATAGGGTTTCTTTGTAAGATGATTTTTATGTTATCTAACAGGTGAACAACCAAATTGAATCTTAAATTTTGTTTACGAAATCCAACAAGATATTTTTCAAATAGAAAACATAGTTTCCGTTAGCATGTACTTGATTTAGTTCAACGAAACAGTTTGACAGGTCTCTAAACCAATCGCGAAATGCAAATAAAAGAAAAAATTAGCTGTAAGCTTTTTCTATAGGTCTAAGCAAATCAGAGGAAAAAGATTCCTGTTTAATGAAAGGCCTATATTTGGAAACGCTAAAAGCCTGCAAATGCAAGGTTTGTGGTAAAAAAAAAACAATTAAATCGAGACTATTGTCCCCGTTGTTCAAATTACTGAAACAAATTATTCGGATTACGATTATTGCTTCAGCAAGTGAATAGGAAAAAGAGATAAAAACAGCAAAGAAAAAAGGTGCTAGAACACACAAGCGAAGACAGAGAAATAGAGAATGATTGAGAAGGGAAAATGAACAATGTCCTAAATACCGTACGACTCTTTCTGTATAAATATGCAGACTTACATTTATATATATAATATATATTATATATATATTATATATATATATATAACTTATTCAGATTAATTTAACAACAACAAAAAGAGAGGCAAACGAATGATACAATAAAGACTAGAAACAACCATCATCCCTACTTTATTCTCTTCCATCTTCTTAACTTCCATTATCTTCTCGAAAGGAAACGAAATTCTTACAAAATAAATAATTCAAGTATTTATAACCAAAGAAAAGTACAAGTTTATTACTTAATATTGCCTGGGTGGCACGTTAATTTCTAACACGACAGATGTCGGTATAATCAAGAGATTATTAGGGCTAGAAAATAGTATTAAAGAGTAAAATGATTGGAAATCGAACTATTTATCTATTATTATAGGATTAATGGTTTGGCGTTGAATTAGCGGGTGGAACTATTGAATGCATACGATTTAATTACTGCAAATATGCAGGATACTACACCTGTAAAATTAATACAGGCACCTAAAAGCCAATAACGGAGACAACTTTCCTGTAGAAATGCAAAAAAGGATTAGATCTTGAATACGCCAGCCAACAATACTAATATTCCTAACAACAATATCTTCATAGCCTATCCAGCTCGATAACTCGTCATTCAGACAAGAATTTGAATTCATTTAACTCCTTTCCGAAGGCATCAAAGAAAATATGATCGTTTGCTACTGGTTAACATTCATTTTCGTCAAATCCCTTTACGATAGGAAAAAGCGACGCTGCTCGACTGGGCCGGATTTCCGCCAGGTATATAGGCCTTTTTATCACTACTGAAAAGCGAGACGCTAAACCTTTAATGCTTTCATGATTTATTTGCGTTGTATAAATTTATTTTGGGGACGTAGTGTAGTTTTATTTAGTTAAACGAATGGACCAACAATCTTGAATGCTCTTCTCTGCTTCTTATCTCTCGTTTTTTTATTATTTCATTAAAGAATCTAAATTAGGATTTATATAGAAAATTTTTTCTTTCGTTTTCTTCTCCGCCCCAACTTATCTTCATTTGTATTCTCAATACAACTCTTTTTCATATGAATAAGACTATATAGGCCTTGATAATTTCTTAAGAATTCTTTTAACGTTCTTATTATTATTTATGTCTTTGCTTTCTATTGTTCCCTAGTTAAAAATGAAAAGAAAGAATGTAGAGAAGGGATAAAAAGAGAAGGAATAGGGCTAAAGATAGATAGAGAGATAGAGACAGAGACGGAGACAGCTAGTACTTCAAATAGGCAAGAAGAGGAAGAGGAGGAGGAAAACAAGGTGACCAAAGACTAAGAATAGAAAGAACAAGGTCAACATACTAAATAGTTCAAGTTTCTTCTTTTAACGACTAAATTATTTACCCAATACGAACGAACATTTCAGTTATAAATAGTGAAGTATAGTTTATGTAAATACTAAGGTTATCCTCATTTAATTCCAATCAAAAAAAAGTCGTTCATCATAAAAGTGCTCTTTAGTCTTCTTTGGAGAACATTGTCCTTGAGAAATAGTGACATCTATTGTATTTCGAAGTGTATTTATGTTGGTAGGAATAATAGGCAAAACAAGGTAAAATAGATTAACTCCAAGCTCTGGAAAATTTTCCAAAAAGAAGGAGCTGTCAGTGTTAATTATAAAAAATCCCTGTACCATTTTCTTTTTTCTACAAGGCCTTAGAATAATTATTATTTTCATGGTGAAAAAGAAAGAGTTGGCAGAAAGAAAGATAGAAAGAAAGAGAGAGAGAGAGAGAGAGAAAAGACTACTTTTTTATTTTTTAGTAAGAATTTTTTTCCAGCTTTGTAGGCAAATACTTATTTCTTGTGATCAAAGCGATCTGTACCGGTTTATAGGTAGGCCTGATTGAAAGACAAAACAAAAAAAAGACACGCATTTAATACCGCATGCACACGCACGTGACTTGACATTATTTGTCAATAAATAAGGTTTATGATAAAATATTAAATATACTATGTATATATATAATGTTTATTACTGCAAAACAAGAGAGTTATAAGGAAAAGACAAAGGGAAAAGTGTCATTTATTGACGTTTTAAAAATGGAGGATAGAAGACAAATGAAAAAATAAGTAAAGAGAAAGATTAATAATCATGAAAAACGAAGAAGAAATTATAAGAGAAGGGAAGTTTTAATCGTACTAGGGAAATAAAAAATGAGAGTCACGTAGCTGTGAAATATATTAAATAACCGTTCTATAATAGGACGAGAAAATAGATCCGCATTATTTTTTCAAATTTAATTACTTAAAAAGTGAAAGAATTTTTAAATTATCTCTCTCTCTCTCTCTCTCTCTCTCTGTCTCTGTCTCTTATAGAGAAATCATTTAAATAAGATTTCAGGTGAAAGGAGAAGTTTTGGGTACAAAATACTATTCCAATTAGATGAGTTACATATAATACGATATGTGGAATGGAATTTCTTTGCAGATTTTAGAAACGTTTAACTGTATACATTTTACCATAAGAGGTATACCGTACACAATATGTCTATTATACACTTTATACTTTATACTTCATATAGGCAGTACATACTTTGAAATAATAGATCAAATGTATATTCGAGTAAAAGCATATTTTTTTCTCCATATATATTTTATCTTGTAGAACAAAGCTTTATATAAAATGCATATTCTACAAAAATAATGCAGTTGTATTAAGTTCTTTATTAACTACACAATGTAAAAAGTTTATTTTCAATTGTATACATTACTGCAGTAGTTTCTCTAGTTTACCAAGGCAAACATAACTAGATCTTCGTCTTCCATTCGTCCTTTCAACTATCTATTAAATAATAAATATAATTAATAGAGTTTGACTGTTCGAGGTCAAACTATTACTTTAATCAATAATTAGAGTAAGAAGAAAACTGAATAAGAAAGAAATAGAGAGAGGAAAGTAGATCCTTTCTTGTATTTTCTTTCAGTAGTTTCACTTCTAGAAATATTAGCGGAAATGAAAACATTTCGAGATATCGACATTAATGTAAATGCGGAAAAGAATTTCTATACAGTACGTGATCTTTGAGAAAAAAATAGAAAAAGCATTTTACTAGTCCTCTCTTTAACAGATCTATTAGCATAAAATAGTGCTGTAGGCTTAGCCAAAGGTGAAAAGGAACGTCTTATAAAACCGAGTAAATTTTTAATTCGAATGCCAAAATTTTCAAGTCTCGTCAAGTTTTCGCTTTTTTTTGTGTCTAAAATAGAAAGGCAAAAAACAAGACTCTACTTTACCTTTTTATCAAGTTTTATGTGTTTTTATCGAGCTTCATTACCTGCAGCAATTCACTAACAAACTATACTACTATTTAACTCCTATTCCGCTTGGATAACAAAAATTACTCTTGTCAATTATAACCTCTTTATAGTTCTATATTTAAGCATCTTTTCAAGATTAATAAACCGCTCTCATTCCCCACTCCTTCTCCCCGCAATATGAATTTATATAAACGTTAAGATGACAGTGAAACTGTGTCCTTTAGATTGATTAGTGCGTATCTTATTAAAAGCAATTAACTTAGTTTTTCGTATTGTTAACAATCCGCTTTTAAAGTCAATTTATAAACATAAGATATAAATAGATATTTCCTAATATTAGGTTAAATAGACAAAAAAACTTTGTCTTTTACTTATTAAATAAAGGCGTGTGGGTGGTATTTTTTTTCTTTTTAGTCTAATTCATCTTTATATCAACTATTGACAAAAAACATTTGTACTGTACGTGACTTTTGCCAGAAATTTGAACATTTCAAGATATTTTCTACACAGATCAACATGCAAGTTGACCGCTCTAGTTCTGAAATTTGTCAAATTATCAAAGAACATGAAATCCTATTAAAAAACCTTCAAGAATGCGACGATCAGAGAGCTCATTCTCTGGAAAATAGTTTATTATGCTTCGGTCGAATATCTGCAATTTGTTCACTGGAAAAGGGAATTTCCGTAAGTTGTTTGTAATCATAAGAAAGTTAAGCTAAAAGGGAACCTAACAAAAATTAGTGGATGTTATTATTTGCGATGTAAATATTCGAATATTCTCAATAATTTTGTCCATTGTAGATACTCCACAATGATATAATTATGAGAGCTTGTAAAATGGCAGAGGATACAGGAATTGAAGATCAAGGAATTGAAGAAGCATGGAAAAGGGTTGATCATATTATTGAGACATGTTTGAAGACTCACGCCCGAAATGCTGGAGAATATCATAAATTTCATTACTTATGCACCTCTTTAGAAAAATTCCTTCCAAGGCAAAAATGAATTTTCCCAGGAAAAGATCCCCCTCCCCCTCCCCCTTTTCAGCCTAGTGTATTCTAGTATAATCTATAGCCTTTGTAAGAGACAAAATTACTAAAATATAAAAGAGTCATCTTCTGATAGGCAAATAGAGAACAAATTTGAAATATATATCGACTATGTAGACAAAGAAACAGGGAGAGAGAGAGAGATAGAAAGATGGGAGACAGAGAGAATGAAAAATAGAAACGGACACAGAGACAGAGAGAGACATATGCAGATAGACAGAAAAAAAGAAAATAAGAGAAGCAAGGAGGAAGGAAGTGAATAGAGAGTGTAGGGAAGGTGGGAAATTTTTTCCCTCAAGTCTTAATACCCGTCACGACGATCCTTTCTCTTCTAATTGATAATAAGCCAATTAAAAAAAGGATATATTTTTAAAGAAATTTTCTTGCTTGGGTCGGCAAAAAAACAGTTAAAAAAATACGAAACCTTCTCTTAAAGCTAATTAAAATAAAAACAATCTATCTATCTTCATTAAATCAAAAGAAAAAGGCACAGAGAATTCCAAGTTATTTCGTTTTTAACCTTTTCTCATAATAAATGTTATAAATGGGCTACTTTTAACTATTTATGATAATCAAAAAGAATAAAAATTACCAGTGACAGATAGAGATAGACAGAAAGAGAGAGAGAAAGAGAGAGAGAGATGGAGATATAAAAAAGAAAAAGTCCCAAAACTTCAACAACTTTTTTCTTTAATGCAATGCAATAAGAAATACTTAGGTGTAATTTTGTTGGGGGAGTGGGTTCTCATGGGATAACCATTTCTGCCGGAAGTTCTTTAAAACCCAATGAAACCAACTTGCTAAAAGGCCTGCAAAAAACGCTATCTGCTTGCACTGAATGGCGTTTAAAGGTCGACCGCCTGGAATCTTTAAGCCGGCATCTAACTCCAATTCGCGCCCGACTGACGCCCTTATCACAGCCAATGGAAGGCCGTCTTCTGTGCAACCTGTCCCTAGGCGAGAAAAAATGCCGACCAGGCGACCGATTGGCCGTTATTGATAATCGTTCTGTTAATTGGATTGTAAAATTGGAAAAGTTCGACGGAAGTGTCGCAGAAGTACCCAGTTTAATGATACAATTGGTCGGTATGGATGATGACGCCAGAGGGCGATGTCTGTCGATTAGAAAAAAATTTGAGAAATTATGGACAAAAAGTGTCATTGAATGGAGTAGACTATTCCTCAGGTTATATACATTTTATATTCATTGACATCTTTTCATGTTTTATCTTCTTTTTCCCTAATTTTACTCTATCAACTTCAAACTAAAAACATAAATTTACTTGATATATTTACAAAGTAGGAATTACAGTTATGTTACTCGAGTGGGGAACATTTTGGACATTTTGTATTATTTATCGCATCATTAGACCAAACAACATCCGGTTTTTCTTTTTAAAATCATAATTTATGGAGAGAGATGAAAATTAATTTAGATAGAAGGGATAGTTCTTGTCAAACCCAACAGTTTCTCCCATCCTTCCGCTTAATCATTTTTTAATTAATCGCTAGTAGTTCTCATTTAATGTTGGCCCTAAAAGAAACTCTTTCTTTTTTATGTTGAAAATTTTGCGCTAATTCATCTTTATTACTTTTTTTAATGTCTTCTTTTATTTTTCTAGCCCGTTTTATCTTTATCTCTTCCCCTCCCCCTCTCTCTCCATCTCTCTATCCCTCTATAATAATCATATTAACGCTAATGACGCAACTATCGTAACAACTACTATTACACCCCTAATACTAATGCTAATAGTACTACTTCTACTGCAACATTAACCGCAATAATTTTACAGCAATATGCTATCATAGTTCCAATTTTATTTTTAGGTACTTAAATGGTGCTAACGTTGAAAGTTCTACGAGAGAAGACAAACAACGCCATCTAGAGTTTATTCGAGTAGCTAAAAATGAGATAGGCCTTGTGGAGAATGGGGAAGAATTCCATGAAATTTTCGATAGATTAAATAAGGCAGTTAGAGGCGATAAGAAATTCTCAGATTTGGACGAACTAAATCGAATTCTTACAACTTTTAAAGCTTTTATTTCCCAATGGAAAGTTTACGCTGGAGAATTGGACAAACTACCGGAAGAAGAAAAAAACTTAATAGAATCACCTAAAATAGAATATGTTATCGAAGATCCTATCGAGCAAAACTTGAATGGCAGCTATATAACCACTCAAACTAAACTTGAAGAGAACCGGCAGACAGTAACAAGAAAGACGATTTATTGCGAAATCGATCCGAATAACTTTGATAATCCTATTAGCGATCAATCGACCCAGAACAACCATTCCGCATCAAAACTCAAAGTAGATTTATCAGATTCTTCACAATTGAATCATCCAGCTTCTTTAAAGGCGCACAATCTGAAAGATTTCGAACCGGAAGAAGAAATTGCACAACTTTCGACCTCAACTATTTCTTCAAATTGTACTCCGGATAGTTTTCGACAAAATGCCAATGCAAACAATAAAGAAGCCACATTGGAGAATTCTGATAAGCCTCTTTGTAAGGCCTATACAACTAATGGAGACAGAGGCTTATCAGTTTTGTATTTGGACGAAGTAGACGATAGTATTGGAAAAGTTTCGGAAGAAGATAAGGTTCCCTATCAAACATCGACAAGCGAAAAGAACGAAATTAAAATAGGTCAATCCAATAAGAATACTGCTAAAAGAGCACGCGAAGAAGGTATTAAAAAGAAGAATTTACAATTTGGTCAACTTCAGCAGGAAGATATAAAAAATGATTCTACTTCCTCCTTGTCAATTGTAGGCGCAGAAACGACAATTGGGTCAATTGAACCAGTAAAAACTCTAAGTACTGCTGTTGTTGCTGAAACTAATCAATTGGTTAGTGCGGAACAAGAGGAAACAAGCAAGTTTGTAATAACTGCAGTAATTCATCCTAGTACCAGACGTAGAATAGACTTACAACAAGCGGTTAAGGAAGGTATTATCCGAAGTGACCGTGGAGTCTACATTGATAGGATTAAAGGAAAAGAAATACCAATTGCTGAAGCAATGAATAACGGCTTAATAATTGTAGAAAATGTAACAAAGGAATTAGGAAGAGAAAAATATCACGACATGGGACTAATAACAATTCAAGATGGAAAAGGTCAATCTATGACCTTTGCTATAAGATCAATTGTTGACGAAAAGTTAAACAAGAAAATACCGTTCACAGAAGCGATAAATAAAGGATTACTGAACAAGGAAACGGGAGTTTACCTTTTAAATAAGAGTAATCAGGAATTAGAATTACCCGAAGCGGTTAAAAAAGGCTACGTAAAGGCTCAAGTTATTGACAATCCGTCCTCCTTGGACGGTATTCACCCTCACAACGTAGTTGTGGTTGAAAAAGTTTCAGCCATTAAGAAGAAGATGTTAAAGCCGATGGCTGTGGTTAATAGCATGAAAAAGAGTGCCGAAGAAGGAAGTAATAAAAAAGAGCACTAATCCTAACTTTAATTTCTACTTTCACTTTTATATTAATGAGAAAATAGAGTTTTAATACTTTGATTGGTATGTTTTTTTAAAAAAAAAGTTAATAAATCTATATAAAACATCGCTAATGACAACACAAAGGAATTTTTTTAAAAGGGGACTTCTCTATTAATAATATCAATATATGAGTCATTTTAAAAGGGCGGTTTTACTTGAAAGTTATTAACTATAAATATTCGAGTAGAAGTCGGTATTCAGAAATTCAAACCAAAGAATATTAGTCACATGGTTAAAAATTGTCCAATGATTAATTAAGATTTGCATAACTTTCTACCTTTATCGCCCATCTCGACTCTATGATACGATCAACTAATTTTGTAATGGTTATAGTGTAATTAGCAATTTAGGACTTTTAAACAATGCTTGGCTTCATAGTTTTAAGATAGAAAAGAAGACATTACTTCCCTCCTTTTTCCTGTTTTTTTTTGTCTTCTTGAGTTGAGCATAAAGAAAGAGTGCACGTAAAGTATATTTATAGGCATACTCATTGTATTACTAACGACGTTGGAAAATGTATAGAGAGTAATAAACACTTGTAAACATAAACGAATAATAATAGGAAAAGGTATAGGGTATATATTAGCATATGTATACGTAATATCAATATTTTTCATGACATTTAATCTGATTATACTGATACGACAATAGGTTGGGGTGAGTGATTTAAAAAGAAAACAAATCTCAACTAAACAAAGCCATAGCTATAGAGAATGACCTAACCTCTTCAATGGTCTGTCAGGAAAAATAATGGAAATTTTTACTGAACAACTGATTAATAAATCAATAGATTATTAAATAATTAAAGACATCGGCAAAAGCGGAATAAAGGCAATTATAGGATAAAGAAAATACAAAATTTAGCATCGATATTGAAAGAATTATAGAGAGAGAGAGAGAGAGGGGAAAATGCAGGATAAAAATTCAGAACTACTCAAGTTGGCCTTAGAAATCATTAATAAAGCATTTAATTGAATTTAATATTGCTGTTGAAAATGTCTCGTACACTTTTGATAAAAATCACCTATTTTTCACACTATTGCTAAGCTTTACAAAGGTGATCTTTATATTTTAAGATACATGCTAACCTCTTACTTAAAGATAATATAATAAATATAGTTAGCTGTTCACTAAAATTCTGTTAAATATTCATAACAAGAATTTTTGACAAAACATTGTAAAAACCATTAAACGTATATTGCTATATAGGTAGTTCTTGAATAGCTAATGTTCTATACCTTATATTGATCGTCTTTCACCAACTTCAGCGCCATATATTCATTTCATATCCTACAGCGACCAAGAAGGAAAGTAAGAGAAATATAAACCTTATATCTAAAGATGGGATTTTGCAAGATCTTCTGTAAACTTGTATTAATTTTAATAAATATCATATTTCTGGTAAGTAATACGGAGCATGTCTTGATTGCTATTTTCGTTTTTCTATACCATTTATTCTCCATATATTCAAGCGTACTAATAAGTCAATAACAGGCGAATGTCTAATGCTTCCTCGCCAATAATAAATAGAGTTTAATAAGAAATAGCGTATTGTAGATGTTTTACGAACAGGCAAACTAAATACGACCTGTTTTACTGTTCTTTCTCTTACTATCAAATGTATGTAATACAGATTCTAACAACTATATACAATGTATACGTTGTTCTATATATCATGTATTTGAGCATGTATATACTATATATATATATAGTTAGACATAGATTAAAGATAATATTAATTTATTTGTCCTTTTAAGAGTTTTTCACTTATATTTCTTTAGTTATTGACTGTTTTCGTATCCGTCCTCTAGTCCAATCTCTAAACAGTTTAGAAATCAATTTATTCGAGACTATAATATATTATTTTCGATCTTGGTGCACTCTTTTAATCAATGCAACTTTAAAGTTGTCTATTAATTTTTACCAAGTAATTAGGAATTTAATCCAGTTAAAATGTTCTATCAATTAGATCAACTAGCCCACTCATACTGTATATAGATATTTATATATATATATATATATATCTAATCCTCTATGCTTCTCTCTATAGCTTCTAGGCCTGGCCTTTTTCATTCCTGGAGTGATGTTTAAGGCTGAATCACCTATAATCAAAGAGAGAATAGATCCTTTTTTAGAGGTTTGTACGGAAAAGTAAAATTTATTAAACAGAAATAACGTGGCTTTTTATTTGTTTTATCTTAAAATTAGTCTTTAAATGATATGATTACAAATACTGACTATGTCAGCTCTGGAGAAAAAATTGACTTTGAATCAATCTTTAGTGGATTAGCAACAGGCCTCATTGTTTTTGGTTTATTACTTATAGTTTTAACATTGGCAGTAATGATTGGAAGTTGCTGTTTGAACATCTTCTTAATTATCTATGCCATTTTCGTTTTTGCTTTGATTCTCGTTCAAGCAATTTTACTTGGAATGTTCTTTACTGAAAAATTTGATGATAAGATGAAAACCAACATAGAAGTAAGTATTGTTCTTTGCCATTCTTCCACTCTTTCTTTGAATTGATTAGTAATTCATTATTCTACTCTGCCAAAAATAGGAAACGATACGTGATAAGTATAGAGGAACAGATAAATTTGATATCGACTCCGTTTTGATCAATCTCATTCATCTCAAATGGGAATGTTGTGGAGTCAACGGTTTTAGGGATTTTGACACAGCCAAAGTTTGGGAAAGAAATAGAACAAAAGAAATAACTGTTGGTTCTCAAACAATCAAACAGTCTGTTGTTCTAGCAACTCCAATATCTTGCTGTAAAATGAAGGGGAGTTTTCCAAGTGCCGATCCAGTAGAACCTAAAACTTGCGCTCTAATACCAGGAACTATACCTGGAGTAAACACGCCAATAGACCAAATTAGTAACAGAGATGTTAAATGTTGGGATAAAATAAAAGATGAAATTGAAAGTAAAAAGGGACTCATCGTGGGAGTTGGCTGTGGTCTTATAGGTTTCCAACTTTTGCTCGCAATTCTAGCAATAATAGCATACATAACTACAAGAAATGAAAAGAATTCTAAAGTGAATTATGCATAAGACATTAAGAAAAAAAGTAACAAAAACCTATTGATTTACGATTTAGAAAAATTAAATGTTTTGTTTTAATTTACTTATATCTTTATTATTACAATAATGAACTGCATGCATACAATGCACATCTTCTTTATCGTTGAGATGCCATGTGAATAGAGCTATTTTTGTTTTTTTAATCTCTATCGTTAAGTGTCTGATGCTGTATATAAAACTTTATTTACAGTCAATTCATCTTGAATAAACAAATTTTTATTGCTAATTTTTACTGTTGTTTTTCGGAGAGGACAATCAAAAGGTGTTACTCCTAATTCTATAGGTATATGATTTATAGTAATGAATTTTTAATGTAAAAGACTGGACTGTCTATTTTCGTATATTGAATGGAATATATAAAGATCGTATTACTCATCTTGTTCCCTTTTAATAAATAAGAATTACGCATATCAATGTTCTTTACAATTTATATACAGTATATATGCTATTTTATAAAATTTTTACTGCCTGATTTTCTTACATTACCGGAAGCGGTTCTACTTTCATTCTCTCTTTCATTTCCTGTATTGAAATTTCGTCTATCTTTGCCGATTTTTCTTTTTGAATTTAAACTTTTTAATAGAATAGCGGAAAAAATGAGAAAAATCGATAGTCAAATAACGAAAACAAGGGATATAGAAATGACTAATAAACACACCGTTACCTGGCAAAAACTATAAAGTTTACTTCCTAAAATATATTAGCCTATTTTTCCCTCTTTTAAAATACAAACTTCATTTCTCTTTGCATTTTTCAATGCTTTCAACACTGTCAACATCGCTTTACCAAAGAAAGAAAAGTATAAACTATTTGTTCAATTTTATTAATTCCAGTCCTATTAATCTAATACATTCATCATAAAATGCTTTTCATGTATTTTCTTTCTCGATATTAGTAATAATAAAATAATCATGACATCCAATAATACTTCATGCTTTCGCATACTTTTTTATTTTTTTATTACTTTGTGAAGTAATCCGAAAATTATCGCCCCTTTGTAATATACAATACATTTTTGTTCTATCGCCCACCACCTCCTGCACTTAATGGACCACTGCTAAGAAACTGTCCTATGTTCCGTACTCCTATAGTCTTCTATAAAGAATCTTCTCTTTTATAAGTCAGAATCATAAGAGAGGAAATACTAAGTTAATCATTTTGAATATTCTCTTCGTATCGACACGAATATTTTTCTGTACTTGATCACTTCTTTTCCTTCGTTGCGATAACAATGACTCATGTTTACATCTATATTTAGAATGAATTGTCTATTAACGTAAGCAATGGTAAATAGAGAATATAGTTATATAGGAAAATTTGCTAGTGCTTGGAAATGCAATCGAAGCTCCCTCTGTAGGATAATATTTGTAATTAAAAAACCATAGAAAACACTACGGAAAGAGATGAGGTTAGTTTTAAAAAAACAGTACGACAGTAAACTCTCTTTAAAAATACCGAGAGAATAATTGTCTTTTACAAGTGTTCACTTATATAAACTGTCTATAGGCTTTATGCACTGTAGATACTGTGTATAAAACCGTAATGATTTCCAAACAATGAAAGAAATCCATACATATCCTCTATTGTTAGAAGGGTAAAGTGTAGACTTGAGCAATATTTTCATGAATAATATAGATTATTAGGGACTCTAGTTTTTATTATATTTTATTATCCATCGTTCCTCTAATAAGGAGAGAAGAGTGATTTATATTTAATAATTTACTAATTGCCCTCTCCAACACAAAATGTTAAGGAAAAGTTTTCTTCTTACAAGGTTACGTCTACAATTTTTACTCTCTTCGATAAGACCTTAAGCAGGATAATTATTCAAATGTTGAAAAAAGTCTCATTATACTATTGAAATTTGTAGTCTTCAATACAAGAGACTCTATTTAATCAAGAGCACTTCTTTCTCCCCTTTATATTCGTTCCGCCGAGAAAGAAAAGGAGAAATACAGAAATATAAGACAAAAGAACACCGTTTCAAAGCCTATCTTGTATACACTTTAAAAGTCTTTTCATTCATGTTTTCATCTCTCTTTTCTTTCCTTATACAGTATAATTTATTATTTACTTCCGACAAGTGATAAGCTTCTTCTCTTCTAATTAGCAGAAAATTTAGATAACTTCCTATTCAATTTCTAAAAGAGGAAATAGAACCAACGAACTAGTTTCTAAATATGTAAAAAGAATAATAACTTGGAGACATTTAATCATAAATTATAAACTAAGAGTGCGTTAATATTAATGCAGTACATTTCAACGATAAAACCTATTGCTGTACGCTTACTTTCAGGTAATCCGCTAGATGGCAGATGTGATTATAGATTGTTGTAACGAATAAGCAGAAAACTCGATATACTGTATTCAGTGATATATATATATACAAGTATATACATGTGATACCATTACGTTCACAAACAAGAGCTGTGACTTGAAATCAATTCATTTTCTACTGTTTTTAATTCCCTTTCCATTTCTCTGTCTATTTGTTCGTCACCCTCTCTCTTCTTTCATCACTTGCTTCCTTTCAGTCTCTCTCTCTCTCTCTCTCTCTCTCTCTGTCTTCCTTTATCCTTAAAAGAGTAAGAGAAAATGAAGATAAACTATTAATTAAAGTTATGAACGACTTAATTCATTTACAAATAATTAAAGAAGGTTTCTTTAGTGGAGAACAGTTGTAAAGTTTTTTTAAACAAGTAGGTCATTTGTATAAAAATTGTATTTAATCCTACAAAGGAAGACTTACCGAAGCGGTTTGTAAAAAGAGCTAATCTCTTGTTAATGTTGAGGGGCAAAATTGGGATTCTTCCGGTCATTGTCCTTAATTGAATATAATCTATTGATTAGGCATTTAGCTTAACTATTCTGAATATCTATATATATATTAGTATATGTATAATATTGACATATAGTATAAAAGAGATGTTCAATAAAAACTCTATGAAAATCCTCAGTCAACTTAATCTTCGAACAGATCAATTCTATTACGTTAGGATATGAAAATTGAAGGTAAAGGTCGAATGAAATATTTGGAATATTTATTTCTTTTTTTTGTGATTTAGGTTGTTTTTGGTTTTTTAACGTAAATTTATTTTCAACAAAATTAAACAAATAAAATAAAACCATTTCGAAATGATGTTTTGTAGTCAAAATACAAAAATTACTGAATCATAAATTGATGGAAAAGATAAAAAGCGCTAAATTAAAATTATCTTCTTCTTCTTCTTCTTCTTCTTCTTTTGATTTGTTTATTCAAACAAAAAATTGAATGCAACCACTTTCTTGGCAATCTTTAATTGGTCCACCGTAATCTACTTGATCGGGATCTGAAGTATGTTGGCCTTTGAAACAGTAGCCACCTAAATATGAATTTACACGTTCGTCGTATGCCTTCATCTTTTCTAGTTCAAAAGTTCTATTGCACAGTTTGCATAGGAAAACAGCACCATTTTTTTTGTCGAATAGTTTCTCAACATGTGAATTCGGATGACGAAATTGACAATCCGAGTTGTAATCATCGGGTCCGAATATTCGGTGACATCTGACGCAATGCATTCTTTGTAGAGGCTTATAAGTTTGCCTCGGAAATAAAGTTGATAAGGCAATTACTGATTTGGCATCACAATTACGAAGTCTTTGCAGTAGGGTATCTCTTATTTGATCGGGATGCATGTAATCGACTAACTCCAAAAGTCTTACTTTTTCATTGCTTAGATATGAGTATTTTAGGGCCGTTTTACGATCCTGAGTGGACAATTTAGGCTTACATTCCGTTTCTTCAATATCTCTGTCGATAAGTGCCGTAGCAGACGGGAGGAAGCTTCCCGAGTCTATACTACTACTTCCAGACGATCCCAGATCGGAAGTTACGTTATTGGCTTTGCCTTTGACGGACTGTGTTTAAACTCGTTTTCGTTAATAAATCTTTATAAAATCCTATAATTAATACTACTATTTAACAGAATCTATAGACCTATATTCTATGCATTTATAGTAAATGTTTTTGGATATTTTCGTATAGAATTTAAAGAGTACTTTGTCTATTTTATTCATTTTCTATTTCGATCACTTACGCTAAAGGATGTTAAGGAAGACTGATAGCAATTAAAAATTGGTCATAGTAGTAACGTTCTTTCTGCTTTCTCTCAATTTATTTATCATTTGTCTTTTAATCAAATTTACTATTTAAACAATACAAATGTTTAAAATATTTACCTTAATTTTAGCGAATTTTAGCATTACGGACGTTATTCACCTTCTCTGCTTATTCTCCATCTGCTCCTAAATTAGATACTTAGGTATTTCAAGAGTCGAAACTATTCTTCATATACGAGATCTGTTCTATTGAGATAAAAATCAACATATGCCTCCGACAATAGGCCCTTTTCAGGTTGCTCTCTCGCTGGCATGAGTAGGCGACAGTTTGAAGACTATTGTAATGTAATACTGTTAGGGTCACGTATTGTATGTTTGAGAATTTTATGAGTTTTTTTTAAAGGTGGACAATGATGAATTTTTACTTAAAAGATTCTCCAGGCTAGCTTATTGGATTTAGAAAAGGCTTAAAAATTTATTATTTTGTTTCTTTATCTTGTTAAAGAATAAATACACATACGCACGTAGACATAGACATTTCTTTCAGACGAATAGGAACAACGAAGGCGAAACTATTGCCTCCTCATATATTATCTATATATTTATTTGTTTATTTATTTATTCTCCTTTACTCTTTCTATTCTTTCAACTGAAAACTATCCTGTTGTTCATCACTCGTCGCCGTCGTCCTTCGACTAGACTTTTGTTCCCCCTTTCAAATATCAGCTTCCTTATCTCCTCTCTCATCTCAACCCTCCACCTCTCTCTCTGCCATTCTAATAGATGACTTTTTATAACTAGATTCTAATCTATTAAAACAGCCTCTCTAACTATTTTAAGTACGGCCTTTTTTATACTTTATACGCGCCATCTGGTGGCGCATAGCTTATGTCTAAGTGTTCAAAAAAAGTCCCCTCTTCCTGTACTGTTCCTATACTTCAAAGATATGAGATGTTGTAGTCACGAGTCAATATAGTTCGTGTATGCATCACACAGCCACTTGGAATATCTATTGTAATAAAATTTTATCAAAAAAAGATGTAACTAAAAGGAGAAAACAACAATAAAAAGAGTACAATCAATGGTAATGACTTAGCAGTATCGCGTTGCTATAATTACTGAATATTTAGATTATGCCATAAATCGAACAATATTTTAACAACCCACTTTGACTATCTAATTATAAAATTTTTACAAAAAATATCTTTATTTATGTATTTATAACCCGTCGTGATAACTAATAAAAGGGCTAAAAACGCTAAATCTATCATCATTGTATCAGTTGATCGTTAGAAACAATGATACGTTTTTTGATTTTCGCCTACTTCCTACTTTTAGGCAAGTAAAATAACTTTTAACACGAAAAGAAATAGAGAAGGAGCGAAAGACATTTGTTTAATAATACTTTAATATATCTTTTAGTTAGTTGCCAAGATGGTCTTCCCAGGAATGCGGCTAAAAAATATGAGGAATCAATGGACATGCCGTGCAAAGCCGTTAGAGCAAATGCACAGTATGATCTCATATCTTGGACATACGTTGCTAGTCAAACCAAAGTTGGTTGGAGTATTGCCCAAAATATGACGATTGCTCCTAACGCCCAAGGAAAATTCGAATTAACAAGTGATCCCACTAAATATGATTTAAAGATCCTCAAAATTGATGATAACACTGCTGGAACTTATGAGTGCGCTGGTTCTCTGGGTGGCGTAGTTGTTGACGCCTTTCACGCTTTTGCTATGTATATAAGTAAGTACAATTGTAATGTTTCCAATTAAAAATCGCAATTTAAGGTGAATTTTCATTTTTCTTCTAATTCTGATTCCAATTTTAATTCTTCAGAGGATTTAAAAATAGCTGCGGACAAGACATTGTCAGATTATTTGGGAACTGACAATCAAATAGCCTATTGCTATGTTGACTACGGTGGACCATACCCTCCCACAGTTTCCGTAGAAACAAGCGGAACCGTTATCGGATCATATCATTACGAAAATATTCCTGATGATATGGCAATGCAATCGTTCACTGCTGGAGCTTGCTCATTAATAAAGAAATCTGATACCTTCACCTGTAAAGCTGATTTCGGTGCCCCATCCATAGAATTAATACAAGACATTACCTACGATGTTGTGGAACCAGATTTTAATGCTATTACAGTCGGAGGTACACCTCCAGATGCTGGAAACGGTAAGAAGAATTTTAGAAGCGACAAAAGAATTAATATTTATTCACCTTTAATTTTCAAACATTTTTTTAGTACCTAGTTGGCTCACGGACAGATGCAAAGCACTTGTCAAGCCACCAGATTATGATTTAGTTCCTAAAAATACTGCTTTGATGACTGGAGAGTCTACAACTCTTAAATGTAAAAGAGTCAATGAAAATGATCATGATGAAGGCTATTGGTCTTTTATAACTGCTACAGACGGATCTGGGGCAATTATCGCCACTAATTTTGTAATTCAACCAGGATTGGATCAAACATTTGAATTTGAAAGTGGAAATTTTAATTTGAAGTTGAAGACTATGTCCAAACCATTGACAGGTATATTAAAATTTTCATCTGCAATAGATGGCGTTCTTTGATGGTTTTCCTTTTCATTTTATTTTCTCTTTTTTCCCTCTCAAAAAAAAACTATTTTAAATAGGACTATATCAATGTGCCGGTCTTAAAAATGATCAAGTCCTTGCCGACCATGCTTCCTTAGTTATGATATTAGGTAAGTGTATAAACAAATGTAGAAAACATCGTATATACAGTACAACTTTAGTATAAAAAATTGGTCAATAGCTTAATTATTTGTTTATTTCATTTAGGCAATCCTTCGTGTACTCAGAAAAGCCATACAAACTTACCATCTAATCAAAAGATTGGCTATTGTTTTGGAGATTATTATGGAGTATACAATCCAACTGTTAACTTTACTAGAGGAAGCAACGCACTTATTTCCGCTACATTTAAAAGAGAAGCTGCCGGGTTAAGTCCCGATCTTTCGGTTGTTGGCGGTTGTTCATTAATATTGGATAATCAAAATTTCAAATGCGAAATGAAATATGGACCTCCTCCAGCTAAACAACTTGAAGATATTAATTTGGATAGAAGTGCACCCTCGAAGGTTACATCCTGCGAGTCAGGATCGTCAACTCCTACAGGTAAGAGTTAACATTGAATTAACCAGCATATAAGGTAAATATTTTTATTTGTCTAGTACCAAGTTGGTTAGAAGAAGAGTGTATAAAGCTATTGAGATTGGATGTAACTACACCGGCTTCTGGACAAAATATAGTAGTTTATATTCCACTCTTAGTTGTTAGTGTATTTCTTCGAGTTCTCTTTTAATTCATTTGTGGAAATTTGGATATTAGTAAACATAGTTAAAAAAAACATAAATAAATAAATAAATGAGTAAACAAATGAATTTATTTATATATTTACGAAAAAATATCCGTCAAATTTCAATGTAAAAGGAAGGAAAAAAAAGATAAAACATTTGGAAACTGATGATAGAAACTGATGAGACGAACAATCTATGACTCGTATGACGTGTTCATTTTTTTTTGTCTTTTTTTCCGTCCGCCATTTAATTGGTTATAACCAATAAAAAAGTGTTTTATTGAAGAAGAGTTTTTAATTTGTCGAATAAATTCTGAGATTACTGTTTTGCTTTTCTTAACTTAAAAAAAGTTAATTGAAAATATCTTTCATTTCATGTCGCCATAATAAATTTACTGGAGTATCTTTAATGACATAAAATTGCGTAAGAGTATTTTTTCTCATTATCGTCGCTGGATAAATGTTAAGAATAGCACGAAATTGAAACTTTCTAGTATTACTTCATCATTATCTGTGAGAAGAAAGACGTTTGAAGGAATAGATAAAAGTATCTACATCTTTGTAAAATTCATTTATAAAGTGACAAAAGTTTAATTAATTGATATTCGTTACATCGCTCCCTGACAACAAGAACGGCATAAAAGACTCATAAACGAGACCGGATGAAACCCATTTATAAAACTTCTTTTTATTTCGTTTTCCATATAATATAAATAAAATATTCTCTTTTTTTTCCCCTGCTGTTTACACGATGAAACTGCGAACAGTCGTTGTTTTTAAATAAGACAGAATATTTCCCTTCATAACAAAAACTGAAAAGCTGAAAAGTAGGGTCAGAGTTCAATATTCGTTTTATACGAATTAAAGTAAAGTGCGCAAAGTCCTCAAATTGAGACGCATTTCATTGCTTCTATTCATTTTTTGTATTTTCTTCAAAGATAGATATACTGTAGATATTAGACAAAAGAGTCCAGTGATAAGCGTTAGTTCCCTACTTTGTTCTTCTCCATTATTCCCTCTTGTCAGTAGCATGTCAAAAAGTTCTTAGAATATAAAATGGAGACAGAATAATCTGATAATTTTAAGTAATTTATGATAATAAATAGCTTTAATGAGGGGCTATAACTCTTTTTCATCTCATTTGATAAAATGATAAAAGAATTATTAGAAAGAAACATATAGCAAGAGCTATGTTAACAGACGAAAAGCGATATATTCGCGTATTAATAGAAAGAAAGAGACAGAATGACAAAGAGAAATTAAAGAGAATATGTTATTCAGCTTTCTCTAGAAAATCCTACGTAAAAGTTGCTCTTTTCATTTCTTATCAGTTTTTTATTTTTATTTTAAATGTCAAGTTTATTTTTTTATTAATGGAGAATGTCTCTATTTTCCATAAAACTCGTTGATAAAGTTTTAAACAAGAAACAAATCTGAGTCATATTTTAACATTTATGTATTCAATACGTTTTAATTATAAATATCGTTGTTTAGAATTATAGTTCACATTTTCAATTAAATACTTTAATCCCTCTTTTTTTCTCATTAACTCATAAATATTTGATAGAATTTTAATCCACTTTGGCTTAAGATTTTAAATCTTTGGCTGAATCAATTAGAAATAAGCTAATTCTCTCGCCTACTAATATTTCTATATATATATATCTACGTACAGCATACAGTATATACTTATATAAACATAAATATTGCTTATCTCTCTAGGATACAAGAATAAAAGAAATAAAACTTTGTAAGAACTTTTTTCTTATGAAATCAACGGCTTTTCCTTAAGATAAAAAATTCAACTTTTACAGCCTAAAGTCGTTTCTAATTGACATTTTTGTGTTACTCAACGACTTTACACCCGATAAGATATCTATTTATTCAATTGTCAATTTTTACACTCTTCTTATTGGTCTTGTTATCCACGAAACCAGACGTTACTTTATTGCAACGTCAACAATGCAACTATAAGCAAAACTAATTATGAGACATTTCCAAGCAGTATTGACCTTTTTTTCTGTTTATTAATATAAAATTTAATGAGAATTACTAGTGACTAATGAATAGTCCATTTGAAAAGAGATTATTTTTTTTTATATATATAAAGGACTAAGAGCAATTTTCGTGTATTAAGAGTGGAACAGCGAAGGAGGGGAGTTGACGATAGACAACAATAGTGCCTTATATAAAGCTTACACAATTCATTCATGCAATAAATATACTTACTAACCCTTTAGTTAGTAGAATTAGTATAAAATGTTGTACTCACTTCTATAGGTATTATATATATATATATTATATACACTATATATTGTATATACACAAATTTCTTTCGCCAGATTTATCCGATTTATTATATTGAATAAAGAAATGTCAAGCATGGCAAGTCAATTCCAGTTAATTAAGAGCTTTTCAAGTTAAAGTCAATTTTCCCACCCTCTTTTCTCTCTCTCTCTCTCTCTCTCTCTCTCATTAGCAATTAGTAATTGCTGTTAAGAGTGTAAAGTACGGTTCTTGATAATCATTTGAAATCCTGAAAAAATCTTCAAGTATTTTTTACTGCTTGAATTAATTTTTTATATACAAATGAAAATAGAGAAATATAGACATAAAAAATATCTTCTTTACATTCTTACAACATCAGTTTATCTGCTACAAACTTGCCTTTTTTCTTATATTCGTCCAACAAATAGGATAAAACTTATTAAATACTATTTATATGTTATACGTAATTAAATGAATTTGTATACAAGGCTAATACGTCACGGCTTAAAAAACATATTTCTCTTTTCCTTGAAATTTAATACAAACATTTTCCAACACGTTTCTTTGTAAAATACTGAAATATATACTTCATAAAGAATAGTTTACTTATAACAAAGTACAGTGTATATATAAAAACAAATATATATATATATATATATATACAGTATATATATACAGTATATATAGTATCAAGTACTGACTAATACTTTACATACTTTGTGCACGACACTCAATATCAACTTTTTTCTTCACGATATTTCAGACAAAAAAACTATCCTCCTTTTCTAAATAGTAGAAAAAACAAATGTAGGTGATTAATAGCAAAAAACAACTTTTGAAATGCAGCGAAACCTAAACAGGCTTTTGTTTGTATGAAATGTCAAGGTTAGATCGAGAAATTTGTAAATAAATGTGATTGGAAATGTTTGAATGAAAACAGGATGCGTAAGTTTTGGAGAAATGATCGATCGTTTTAAAATTAGAGAATTTATTGATATTTATTTCAAAGGTAATAGTCGATTCCATTTCAATTGAGAATCGGACTCGTTACTGAAAGTTTTCACTAGCAACACGAAAACAAGGATAATTTTTTCGTTTTCTCACTTTTCTTAAAATATAAACTAGAGGAAGAACACCTAAACATCATCGATAAATATAACAGAAGATCGGATCAAACAAATAAAAGTATTGTTTACTCGAATCTTTTTCCTGTCCATCTCTTATCTATTTCATTCGTGGCTGTTAATTTATTCAAAACTCCACAAAAGGGAAACCTTCCGAGAAAGAATAGAAGGAAAGAAAAGAAGATTAGGATAAAGGCAAGAAAATAAGACAGCAAAAAAAGAGAGAGAAAGAAAAATAGCATCGTTTTACTTACAAAAGCAAAAGTTTACCTGCATAAATTTACAGGAGAGAAGTTGATTATAATTTCGATCATATTGAATACATTTTAATATTTGCTTAACATGTTACTGATTTAATCAGTTAAGTTAGAGAAGTTAAAGTACAGGGTGTTATTCAATTTTCTATAAGACACTAGAAAGATCAAAAGAAAGATAATTGTTCTAGGATTAATAAATTTTTATTAAAAAGTGGATTATCATTAATACTGGTAATATTTTCAAATATATCGTAAGAAGAAAATATTGCTTAAGATTTTTCTTTTAATTAAGTTTAGTCGTCTCCTTGGCATTGGCCAGAAAATATTGGTTTTTTAAAGGCTAAAAATCCCTTTATTCGAGCATTGTGTGTCGAAAAAAATTCAACACAGCCGTCGAAACATTATCTAATGTTTCTGCTAATCCAAATTTTACTTTTTACTTGTACATTTTGCACTGTTAATGGTAAGTAATTAACTTGAACCGTTTCTTTTTGTTTCTTCTCTTCATTCTCCGTCTTTCTCTTTCTCTTTCACTCACTCACTCACTCACTCACTCTCTCTCTCTCTCCCTTTCTTCGTTAAGTTTGTCGTGTAACCGCTGTAAGTCTTTTTTATATATCTCAAAAATTTTGTCAACCACACGAAAAAAAGTAAAAAACTTTGTTCATGTTCTTAAACAAACACTTTTGAAATTTGCTTTGCAATCTTTTGCAACCTTCTATTGTAATCAATTATATTTTAAGCCTAAGCCTCCTACTCTTTCTTTAAAACATTTTTCCTCTTTTAAAACGTTTATTATTGTTTTTATTTTTTCTTAATTTTTTTCTTTCAACAGCCGCTGTGAGTTTCTCTTCTGCAAGCCAGAATGTAGCTCTTGACGAACCTATTTTGAATGGAGCTACTATAGGAACTTTTACAGCAAGCGGCGCAACATCCTATAGTCTTTCCTCCAATCCTAGTGGTAGTTTTGCTATTGTTGCCGCTACTGGACAAGTTACAACTACAACGGATTTGGATTACGAAGATGAAGGCGCCTCTATTTCCTGTGATGTTACGGCGACCGACGGAGTTAATACTGATGTGTTAAGGATTAATATAGCGGTACTTAGTTTTGTTTTTAGATAATAATTATTGTAAAGTCCAAAAAAATAATCAAATAGATCAATCCCAAAAATGAATTCGATCCAACCTTTAAAGCTGATAATCAATTCTTACCTGCCTATGACTCGAGTACGGGTTATCTAATACCCGAAAATTCCGCCATCGGATATGAAATTGCTACTCTTGGGGCAACTGATGACGATGTTGGATTGGATGGTGATTGGACATTTTCCATCTCGGGCAGCGGTAAGTAAATATAGAGTTTTATAGCGTATACAGTGATTGTCGTTAACTTGTTATTAATAACGTTCAATAAACTAAATCAAAGGATCTGATAAATTCGTTATTGATGCTCAATCCGGAAAAATCTATACAAGTGCAACATTTCAAAGAGATGGTTCAAGCGGAGTAACTTCATACGACATAACTGTGAAAGTTGAAGACGGTGGTGTTGCCGCCACTGGAGGCGCCAGATCTACAACAAAGACAATTAAAGTTATTCTACTTATTATCATTCTGAGGACAAAATCAATCCATTGAATATTTCTTAATTTTTCAATTAGATGGCTATAACGGATGTCAACGACGAAAATCCTACATTTACTTCTGGTATTCATACAGCAAATTTCTTAGAAACTGTAGCATCAGGATCTACACTCACCATAACACCCACTTTACTCGTTACCGATGACGATTCCATTGGAACCTATACCTATACGTTTCTCGATGGGAATACACCGGCATATTTTACTTTGGACGATGCAGTTCCAAAATCACCAGTTATAAAATTGGCTCAAGTCGTTTGTATTATTTATATACAGTATTATCTAAAATAAAGTAGATAAGATATGTAAAACTACTATTTCCAACTCTTTAACAGGTAAATCTCGACAAACCACAAAATCATGACGCGAGTTATAGATTAGTTCTACAGGTTGATGATGGAAATAGTCATACTGCAACAACAGTTATTCTCGTTTCAGTAACACCAGTTAACGAACATACTCCAGTTTTTTCACCTACAACGAACCCCGTATCAAAATCTGTTTGTTTTCTCTTGTATACTCAATATAAACGTCCAATATAAAATCTCATATTTCCTAGATTTCTGAAGCTGAAAGTGTTGGATATCTTATTCATACTGTTACGAGTACAGATGATGATTACGGTGACGATGGAGTCGTTAAATACGTCGCTGATACAAGTAGATAATTGATTCTTTCTTAGAAAGTTTATATATATTGATTGATGCAATGAATGTCTTATTCCAGATCCAAATAATTGGTTTGATGTTGATGAAAATAATGGAGAAGTTAGGCTACGATCAAAAATTGATTACGATGCCCTTACTGTTGCAGGAAGAACAGTTGATCTCCTTGTTAGGGTTGAAGATAAAAGTACTACTAGTGTTCGATCGGCTACTTTGACTATCAGTGTAACTATTACTGATGTTAGTGATGAAGATCCATCCTGTACTCCTGCTAGTTACGATACGACTATTAATGAAAATTTGGCTGTAAATTCGCCTGTTTTAACAATAACTTGCTCTGATTCGGATGTATCAGAAAATATTGCATTCTCAATCGACCCTAACACAGATACTAACTCTATATTCCAGATTCACGCAACATCCGGAGCAATCACAATACAAAACAGTAAGTTTTAATTATTTTTTACTGAGCAATACAAATTTCTGTGAAATAGTAAAAATCAATTTTCATTGATGATTCTTTTAAAATTAATCTACAGCACCCGACTACGAAACAACTCAGACATTCAGTCTTGGTATTGAGGCTGTAAGTGGTCCTGGAGGGAGTGAAAAAACAGTTGTAGTTCCAGTTACCATTAATTTAAATCCTTTAAACGATGGACCTCCAGCAATAACGAATGGTCAAGTTACAAGAGCCGAAGATGTTGCGGTTGGAGAAAAAATTTTTCAGTTCTCGGCTAACGATCCTGATAATTCTCCGTCCAACAATCCTCATGACGTTACCTCATATCGGATCGATAGCGTAGACAATTCTGGAACTGCAAAATTTACAATCAATTCAGTTACAGGATGGGTTATAATTGCAGAAAGTTTAGATTACGAAACTGCTACTCTTTATAACATTGTCGTTATAGCTAAGGATGGTGGTAATTCCGAAAGTACTGCAACTTTAACAGTTACTGTAACAGATGTGAATGACTTTGCTCCTGTATGCAACGAGTATTCTTTAACTGGCACTATTCCGGAGGATTCGAGTGTCAACGATCCTGTAGCAGGAACTACTCCCACTTGTAGCGATGCTGACGGAACTACTGATAATAATCAAATCAAGTATGAATTTGCAACTCCTTCGGGAAATACAAATGATGCTTTCAACTTGAACCCTTCCACCGGAGCGATAACAGTTAAAACAGTTTCTTCTATTAATTACGAAGGAGGAGCTAGCTATAGAGACTTTACTCTTACGGTAAACGTTATTGATAAAGCTGGTACGGGATGTTCTGGAAGTTGTAAAACTGCTACTGTAGAAGTTCGAATAACAATCGAACCTGTTAACGAAGCTGATCCAGTTATTACGAATGCAAATACATATACAGCTAGCATTTCAGAGTCTGCACTTGTTGGCTCAAACGTCGGTCTTCCAGTTGCCGCTTCCGATGCAGATCAAGGAAGTTTACACGGAACTCTGAGGTAATTTATAAATCAAAATTGTTTATCGTTTTATCCCTACTGTATAGCTAATTGGTATTAGTATGTGCTCTCCTCCAAAACAGATATGCAATAACTTCAAATGATCAAGGTGACAATAAATTTGGAATTCGTCAAGATGGTCAAATATATGTCGAAGCTGCTCTTGAACGGGACGGTCTAAGTTTACCTGGAGCAAGAACTTATAACTTAGTTGTGACAGTCGCTGATAATATACCTGCCAGTCAAAGAGCAGCCACAACGACCTACGTTATTACAGTTAATGACGCAAACGATAATGCTCCAGTGTTTACTCAAAATATATGGTCCGCTGCATTGAATGAACCGGGAGCTGTAAATGATGTTGTTAAAAAGGTGACGGCTACCGACGAAGATGTTGGTACTTTCGGGACCATAGTTTATGAAATAGTTTCCGTAACACCCAGTACACCTGGTCTGTTTAAAGTCGTCGCTGATGAAATCCAATTGGATAGTCTCTTGGATTACGATACTGGTCACAAAACTTTTTCTTTAATTCTCAGAGCCAAAGATAGCGATCCAACGACACCTTTGAGTGCTACGTCCACTTTACAAGTTGTGGTAAATCCAGTTAATGAGAATACTCCTAGTTTTGACCACCCCGCTCAAACGATAGCTGTTTCGGAGACGAGTGCCCCTGGAGTTATATATACTCTATCAGCATCGGATACAGATAGCGAGGCTGATGGTGCATTGAGATTTTCAATGGTATCACCTACAGATTCGACACTCTTTGCAATTGATTCAACTAGTGGGGCTCTTTCAACACTTCAATCGTTAGATTACGAAGCAACCGTTCAGACTTACACCTTGGTTTTGAGAGTTTCAGATAACTATGGCAATACGGGAAATCTAAATGCTCAAATTACGTTTACAATCAATGTTCAAGATGAAAATGATAATTTTCCAACTTTCGCTCAAACCGTCTACACATTAAATATTGACGAATCTTTTGCTGCTAATACACTAGTTCCGTCTGGTACAATTACTGCCACGGATGCAGATAGCGGTGCCAATGCTGCTTTGACGTATTCTATTTACGGCGGAACCGGTCAGACTAGTTTTGTAATAAACGCTGCTACTGGCGCAATTTCGACTGCAGCCTCTCCCGGCTTGGATCATGAAAATAGACAGATTCACGCATTATTAATTCGAGCTGTGGATGGTGGTACTCCTGCTAAAACAGGTCAAACAGTCGTTAATATTAACGTGAACGATGTTAATGACAATACACCCGAATTCTTACCGAACAACCTCCAAGCATCTGTAGATGAAAATTCAGCAGCTGTTACAGACATTGTTACGGTAACAACTTTTTCTTTTGGAATTTTTTCTCTTTGAACTTTTTCTAATAATTTTTCTTTGAACTATTACCAGTTAACGCTAAGAGATTTGGATTTAACTGGGATAAATATTCAACAAGCCGTTTCTATAACAACAAATCCATCATCAAGATTTCAAATATCTTATACACCTTCTGCTGTACAAACTACTTATCCAATTTTACAAACAGCCGTTAGCCTTAACAGAGAAGTACAATCAACGTAATAAAGACATATATATATATATATATATTCACATAATATACACTGTATGATCAAATTAAATTTGCTACTTTTACTTTAATATAGGTATGTTGTGGTTATAGAAGCAGTAGATACCGGAACTAATCCTTCAGCTTTAACTGGAACAGTATCCGTTACCGTAACGGTCAACGATATTAATGATAATACACCAGTGATTACTAGTACAGGTCATACTGTGAGCGTTTACGAAAATACAACTATTGGCTCTGTTATTATTGATGTGGACGCTACCGATAGCGATACTGGAGATAATGCTGCATTGACCTACACAATAGCTTCCGGAGATGCTTTAGGGCATTTCATGATTGACGCCGGCACAGGAATATTAAGTTTAAAGACATCGCTAAATTACGAAGCAAATATAGTACACAATCCAGTAGTTGTTGTTTCCGATAGAGGAAGCCCATCGCTTTCAGTAACTGTAACTTTAACTGTAAGCGTTGTGGATAATAACGATAACTCACCACAAATACCCTCTACTTATACATTCAATATTGCCGAAAACGCTCCAATCGATACAAGGATCGGTCAAATAGCAGCAACGGATGCTGACTCGAATAATAATGCAGCAATTCAATACCAAATCGTCTCAACTGTCTCAGGACCAGCTGACAGTTTTCGAATAGATATCTGTAAGGGACTTTTCATAGGAAATTCTCCTAAATCTTTATCTTTAATTACGACTAACAGCAAACTGTTAAAAGGGTTTTTTTTAATGTTTAAACAGCCAGCGGTGCCATATTCACAAAAACTATCAATTTGAATAGAGAAGGAGTTAGCACCTATAAATTATTGTGCAGAGCAACTGATGGTGGAAGTCCACCGCTTCATTCCGATACAATTGTTACTATCAACTTGCTGGATGAAAATGATAATAAGCCAGTATTTACGAAAAGCAATCACAAGGTCAATCTGGTAGAGCATACGAAACCGGGAGTGTTTCTAGTACAAATAGAAGCAACCGATTATGATCAAAGTGTAAATGCTAAACTAATTTTTTATATTGATCCGTTGAATAACGTTTCAAATTCATTTTTCGAAATTGACGCCATTTCAGGTAAGTCTATGAATATTGAAATATCTATAAAATCTATATACGTCATATATTGATCGATATATAATATGCATAATGTATACAAACTCTATATACGTATAGTATATTTATATAGATATGTATATTTGTTTGTTTATTTATTCATTTTAATATTTGAATAACTTGAAATACTTTTAAGATAAACGTTTCAACAGGAAATGTTACATTAAAAAAGGAAATTGATCGGGAAACCGACGGAGATCAATTCAATTTTAAAGTTTACGCTAAAGATTCTGGTCTTTCGCCTCTTTTCAATTGGGTTTGGGTTACTGTTAATATTGTCGATATCAATGACCATACACCGACCTTTAGTGCCGCAAATTACTCAACTGAAGTTGCTTATAATGAAGCGTCAAATTATACGATTCTCCAGTTGACCGTTACCGACAAGGATAAGGGTTTCAATTCCGACTTGGTCTTTACTCAAAATGGAGCAAAAAATATATTCAATATGGATATTAAAAAGGGAAAATTTTCCCTAGTCTCTGGAGTAACCTTACCAATTTCAACCAAATACACTTTTAGTGTAGACGTTACCGATTTGGGTACTCCTAAGAGAGGATCTCAAACCTACGTAAGAATTGATTCATTCAATCCAGATTCGGTTATAGTGAGAATCGAATTGAATCTTGAAGTTGACGAATATAAATCGAAAAGAGCAGGTCTGATTAATGAATTGACAACGGCTTGTAAGACCAAATACCCTACTTGCCAAGTAAAACATTGGAAATATTCAAAGAGAAGAGCCCAAAATATACTATTAAGTAATAGAAGAAGGCTATTGCAAGTAACGACAACAAATCTAGAGTAATAAATAATAGAATATGACCATTATTCATGATGAAGAAAAACTCTTTATCTTTTCAGATTGGAATATATCAACGAATATATTTATGCAGTACTAGACGATGGTACAGGGTCCAATGATGCCAAAAAAATATTAGCCAAAAATGAATTATTAAGTATGTTTAGAAGCAATGCTAATACAGGAACTCCGTCTACTTTAATTCAAGGTTTAATAATCTCTTTATTTCCTCTCTCCTCCTCTCTTCCTTCATAACCTATAAATAATAGAGAAGGAGAGATTAGTTTATAAAAGATAAACTCATCTAAACTTCCGATTGTATACAGGGTCTAATTTCGATACTTATAAAATCAACGCGGTCCATCCGTACAAGGAAGATTCAACTACTACACCCTGGATTGAAACAACTACTGGAATTGCGGTTGTTGCAACTTGTGCGGGAGTTGGCCTCATACTTATTATTGCCCTTATCGTATTCCTCATTTACTGGTGTTGCATTCGAGAGAGGTTTTTACTTTAACTATTCAATTGATATATCTTATAAACTAATGATTTTTCCCCCTCGTAAAAGGCTTTTTATACCAGAAAACCGCCCTGTTACAGCTGTAAGGCGTCCTAAACCTAAAACGAATATGTTTCGCGGTAAGTGGAAACCATTACATAACTGGATATTAAAAAATAGAACCAATAACAATTAACCCGTCTATCATTATACTTAACTAATCAATAGAAAATGGACGACCAACAACACCAATAGTAGTGGTTCCTGCGAAGGTAAACACGATAACAGTATTGTTATTTTATTACGTAATATATAATGGGTTTTTTTAAATTGTAATTGTTATCTTAAAGGACAACAACGGAAAGAAATCTATACCTCCTACAGACACTTCGTTTGAAAAGGTATAATAGATTCTTATCAGTCCTTCTTTAATGATTACAAAATTTCTATTTTCCTCCTTTAAAGTCAAAAGCAACGAATGAAATATATTCGAAATCCTCGTGGGGAAACAGAGGTTCGAGATCAATAACACCAGTTTTAACCCCAGAAGCAAATTATGATAAACAGGCCGTGGATCCAAGTAATAAATAACTGAATATCGAACATAGATATACATTTTTTCTATTGATATCTTCTCTTTTTCTTTAACTAGCAACTGGAAAAATGTACGAATATAATTCAAAGACAGGAGAGAGACGATGGCTTCAAGATCGGGATGGAAATTCAGTAATGAAGAAAGGAATGAACTTTTAAATATCTGCAATAAGATATATAGAAAAAAGTGATTAACAAACAAGCAAACATGAATTCTTTCCACACGAAAAGAATACCAAAAAAGATAACTTGAATACTGTTAAACAGCATTTCTATTAGTTGTTTTTTGTTTAATTTCTATGTTCTACCTTATGGCTCTCTCTCTCTCTCCCTCTCTCTGTTTTTTTTTGTATTTGTTTATCAGCCTACATGGAATCTCTCTTCAGATACTCAACTTGAAAAGCATATTTATTTTACGACCGTAAAAGATAAAAAAAATTATAATGCTATTATTATTTCGTACGAATAAAAAAGTCTATGGTGTGCCGTGTTCAAAGGAAAAAAAAAACAGGGAAAGTTTTGATAATTATCTATATTGAAGCTTGATTGAACCGTGTTATGAACAGTTTACACATCAATCTCTATTTAATAATAGCTCACTTCTATCTTTCTTCTTTTAATTGTGAAAACAAATAATGTATACATCTCTTAAATTGTCGGAAACTAGAATAAGGAAATTGTTAAGTGTTATTGTACGAATTTTAATTGAAATAAGATTAATGGATTGATTACAAATGGTCAATTTAGAGTTATAAATATAGAGTAAGTGTAGGAGAAGGAGGACGACGAAGGGAAAGAACTAATTTATATAATTTATCTTTTGTAAAGAAATATAATAGATATTTCTATTAATGATATTCGATCAAATAGCCAAAGTGTCATTATTAATGATATAGTTTTTCTTGATAATTATAGTTATAGTACAAGTAAACCAATGTAAACATTTCATATCGTCACTATGTGCAGTATTATAAAATTCTGTACCGAGAAAAAAAATACGACAACTGGAAAAGTCTGGCCTAAATCATTAAAGGCCTATGTCAGACAGTAATTAGTCAATCAAACTTTGGCTATAATATTCGTTTTACCAATATTAATATTAACAAACAGTCTACAAACATAAAGTATTGCATAAAATGAGACTCTTACGAGAAGTAGACATTACTTTTATCTACTAGCTCGTTATATATTTTTCCATTCACGTTTTACCAGTTTTTTCTCATTGTTCTTTATATACGGTAATCCCTTATCCGCAATTCCTTCCCTTTCTCTCTTTTAATAGACATTCTTGTGTCTGTTTGCTAATAAATTTCATTTGTCGTATGCAGGATCTTACCTCTTTACTTTATCCTTCCTTTTTTCTACATATCCCTTTTAACCTATTTTTACAGTTTTTGTTCCAATTCTTCTTCTGTTTAGTGGTTATCAATTTGCAATTATCTTATCGAATGGAAAAGCTATCTAAATGTCAACAACTAGAAGCAGATAAACGTTAGGTCGGTTCTTCTTCCCCTTAACTTCTTGAATAGCATATTTCACTCTGGTGAGATGTAAACAAGTCAACAAAAATTATCATGAAATAGCAAAGCGAGTTATGATGGAGGAGAGAATGAATTAATACTATTTATAAGTATTACTAAGTGAATGAGAGTTTTTTCTCCAAGTTATCCTCCAACTAATAAACATCCAGGTAATGTTAAAATAATGTATTATGCGAGCGTGTGAGCGGGGTGAGCGTGATCGTACGGCTAGCTGGCAGTAAGAGAGTTTTCATCTATTCTAAATTCATTTAATTTAACGAAAAACATCTAGTTATCAATCTAGATGATTCTCTTCTCTAGCCGACAAGAAGTGAGATATGATTCTTCATTCTAAGTGAATTCGTTGAAATTTATCTTCATCCGTCTGTCTACTTAAGAGATAAAATTTCATAGAAATTTCACGATCAACACATTTCTTACAATTTAAAGAGGAAAACAAAATCTGAACTAATTAAGATAAATGTAAAAATTGAAACAATATGTTTAGCTTATTTACTTGTTTATTCTATTCTATTTTTTTTGTATACACTTATATATTATTTATAAACAACTGCTGAACTAGTTTTAAACCATTAGAAAAAGATTTCTATTCCTTTTATCAGTATTAATACAGTATTTATCATCTCTGAATAAAGGAGATAGGCAGACAGATAGACAAAGGAAGAGAACAAAATGCGAAGAAAAAAGAATTTTCTTTCCTACCTTCCTATTTTCTCTTCCAGTTTTCTGGTCTTTTCTAACCCTACTAAATGAGGTTAACCGAAAAGTCTCTAATGCATAAGGAATTATGCGTTTTACGTGTTGTCTTAAAAAGGAGAAAATTGCTTTTCTACGAATTTCTCTACTTTTCTTTTAAAATAAAGTGTAAGAGAAGAAAGTGTTTTGATAAGATTTCCAACCAAGATTAAGAAGATCGTATAGTCTTTTGTACCCTACGAAGAAGAATGAGGATAGAGAAAAGGGAGAAGATGGAGAAACTTTCCAAGAAAAGCGAATAACCTCTTCATTAATAATATACAGAATTTCAATATGATCATTATAGACGTAATAGTTAAGTGGTTGATTATGCATCGCTTGTTCGTTGAATAACTTTCCTTCAGATTACTTAATATGAAAATACAACTAATGAGAAAGTAAGCAGTTCCTTTCCTATTATGTAATATTCAGGTTGGAAATTTGATAAGACGTCGGTCACCAGTTCAATTAGAGGGCTTTTATTTCCCTTAAATAAGTCATATAACCTTTAATATTTTTCTCTATTTCTCTTTCATTTCACCCTGGTTTTTTCTTTTTTCTTTCCTACGTTGTTTATTCGATAGAACGAAAAACAACTAGATGAGCTCGGTAAGACCTCCGACGTGAAGAATCCTATACTCGTTGTCTAACAACATTCGTGCGGTTGCAATTATTTTCTAATAAACTATCTGTTGACACTCGAAGATTCCATTTATTCAATACGAGACTTTTTAGCTGCAACTAAGCGTTTACGACTGGAATGCTTTTCTACAAGTAACCTTATAAATGATGAAAATCGGTCTAGACGTCACTTCTAAGCGAACGAAAAATGAAAAGGTAAGTATATAAAAAATACTAAAGAATAAGACAGAAGTAAACCAACCAAAACTATACATTTTCTAATAGATTTTCTTTATAAATTTAATAAAGGAGATATTCCATTTTCTCCCTTTTGTATTGTCGAAACCTCTTTAATATCCTTCTCCTAGAAAGTAAGTAGTCTCTTATTGTATAATTTTATAAAATCTAAAAAAAAACCCCTTTTCATGGGCCGAATTATGAATTTACTACTCTTTTTTTATCTATGCAATCTACTTGTTTTTTCTTTTTTGTCCCTCTTCTTTTCTTATTATTATTGGCCGTATTATTAATATATGTAATAATTGTAGTAATTGTAAGAAAGGGAAAGGGTTTCGTCGAGTGGAAATCTTCCATGTCTTCATTTTATAATAGATTATTATTACCTTTTTAAGTTTACCGCCAGATGGCAGCTTTCGGTTTGCTAAGTGGGATAGGGAAGGTTTATACCAAAATGCAATTAATATATTATTACAAAAATTAGTGTATAATATATTGAATAAATAGCTTCTCTAGGCTAATACTTGAAGGATAATGTCTGTTGACACTCTCGTTTCTATAGTTACTGTATTCCTCTTTTAGCATCTCATTGCTGTAAAAAAAAATATAGGATTTTCATTACTTCTTGAAGGTAATTAACTTACGAACACCAATCGGACTGGAAATATGTCTTACCAATAGGGCTTATGGGATAGCCTGTCCAGGGAATTGGCCAGTAGCATATTCCGAATAAAATCTGGTCCCGCCAGATGGTGCTCCGGTTCAAGAGAAATATCTTCCTCTTCCAATAGGCCACGAGCAGGCCGAGTTGACAGAACGTGCCTCGGAAGATTTCTCACAATATATTATCAATACTATCTTTTTGCTAATTAGCAACTAATTATGGGATTGCTTAACGATATCTGCTTGATTTGTTCGAATGTTTCGGAAATATCTGTTAGGACTCCGTGCGGAAGAAAGTTCTGCAAAAGTTGCTTGTTACCATACGTCGCAAGGAAATTTTCTTGCCCAAATCGTTGCTGCCGGATAAAGCTGTCGGATCTAGAACAGTTGAAGATCCCCAAGGAAAAAGAAGTCGTTAAAGTCAGATGCAAATATTCATCTTTTGGCTGTCCTGCTGCTGTTCCACTCAGAGAAATGGATAGTCATGTGATTGACTGTAAATTCCGAACGGTGAAATGCGATTGCGGTCGAACAATGACCGCTTCGCAGTTGGATGATCATTGGAAAATTTGCAGATGGAACTTGTGCGGAAAGTGTCATCAGTCTGTGCCAAAAGATTCCAACGGCAATTTTGAGCACGACTGCGTAGAAAGTTTGAAAAAGAAATTGGAAGAGTTCCAATTAGATTTAAAAGCTTCTCAGGTGATAGAAATTTAAATATTTCATTAGTACGTTTCAAAATGTAACGAAAAATGCCTAATTAGTCTTGTTTTTTTGTCAAAATGAGCAGCTACAATAGGGAATTTATTCCATATATCTTCATGGATTTTTATCAATTTCGTACAATATTTGAGACGCATTTCCGATAGTATCGTTCGTTCATTTAGAAAGAGGAATGAGGGTGAGGGGGCGGTGAAGAAAACGATAAAGAGACAGAAACAGAAAGATGTGGGGCAGGGTTGAAGGACACGGATGAAAAATAGTAAATGAGAGTGCAAAGTCATTTTGACCTTGAGACATTTTATAAACTTGCTTCTAAAATGTGAATTATTCGCTTCAATAATTCCAATTAAATTAATTAACTACTTCTATACAATTCTTTTTTAATCTGTAGCTTTATTTTATCTTTTTTCTTTAAAAAAAAAACTCTACCAAGGTTTTTTTTTCTAGTTTTTAATTTAAGTAAAAGCACACACTTTTCGTTAATTGAACAAGAATGATGCAAAATTGGTATAAATTTAACTAATAACATAGCTCTAGATCGGGAATAATTCACGACTAGTAGCGTGTTTGGTTTTGTTTTTAAGTGTATAGCGTTACACTATGTTTTTATACAAATATTAATAAAGTAGTCTTCAAGATAAAGTACTAAATATACGAAATATTTTGTATAATAATATTAAAGGTGCGTAAGATAAGCATACCTATTCTGTGCATAATATATAGTATATGAACATATGATAGATGAGAGAGATAGGGGGGAGTAGGATGAGGAGGCAGGGAAAGGAAGTGAAAGAATTGTATTCGTATAAAAGTACAGTATATAAACACTATATATGAATTATATACAACTATATATGTTTAGAAACTATATAGATATATTTATTTATTTATTAAGAACATAGCCAGAAGGGGAAAATGAAGATAATATTAGTATAGATATAAATTCTCTATTCGCTCTTTTATATTCTTTTTTATATTAAAAATATGTGTCTATTTCGTTACATTTGGCTCTTTGATTAAAATTTTGCAGCTCTTCCCCGCTTTAGATCACAAAAAATTATATATGACGTGTCTTTTTTTTATGTTTCCAACTGCAATACAACTGGAAGTAAATTATTAGAAATTAGGTTCTTCCGTTGTTTTACCAATGAATGGCAGGAAATTAGCTGAAATATTCTACAGATTCCCCCTTTCCCCCTCTCTTTCTCCCCTCTCTCTTTATAATAAACCATAAAAATAATAGTCTCTCTCTTTCTCTCTCTCTCTCTATGCAGAAAAAAGAAAAATCCTTAGTGGAAAAGATGTCAAAAATGCATGATGAAGAAGTGCTATTAGTGAAAAATTTTGCCTCAAAAATTCGCAAGTATCGAACCTTACTAATTGGATTAAGGGCTAGAAAACTCGGACGGGAGGTAGGTCGATAAGTGGTTTCCTTTTACTCTCCTTTTCCCTTACAAATAAGCGAAACAATTCACAAAAACCATAAATAATAACAGTAATAATAATAATAACAATAATAATATAGAATTGCCGTTTACTTGATGCATTTCATTATGATCTCAAAGCGATAGTATTGATCGTCTAGACGGAAGTTAATGAATATTAATTAGTTCAACACTTTTCTGCAGGGTAACAACGTTAACCGAAGAGAGGAAGTTGTTGAGGTATGTAAATGAAACATAGATTAGACTGAAGAAGTCACATGTCAGTTTTATGCAAATGTTTTTTGTGTTTGGGAAAGGGGAAAGTAGGAATTTGGAAAGGGAAAGTGAAGAAAACATAGTTAGTTTGTCCGTTTCTGGTAGATTTACTTTTCTTGTAGAAAATGGAAGCAAACTATATTAAGAATTTATAAATTTTGGGGTTAGATATTCGACGCTTGGGCTTTAACCATAAGTCAAAATGCAAATCGAGGAATCTAGAATTGGATTCCTTTGCTTACAAGTGAGAATCATAGGGCGATTAAAGTAAATTGTATGTGTAATCTATGTATTTGTTTATCAGTGGAAAAAAAGTCAGAGTATATGCATATATATTAGTAAATACTATTATTGTTCCAAAGTAAGAAAATGACCAATTGTTCTATAGAATTCCTTTAAAGAATAGCTAGAAAATTATATTCTACTAATAATAATTGCTAGTACTCTTTAAAGTAAATTAAATTTATACAAACAATATGCAAATCACGGACCTTTGTGTTTACTGTATCGAGTTACTGACGACGTTGAACATCGTAACAACTTTATTGTTGATAAATCAGCGTAAAAAAAATCCAACATATAATCCGTATCAGTATAGTCTTATACAGAATATACAATGTAATACTCGACATTCCGCTTATGTAAATTATATGCAAATTAGGAAATCACATGCAAATTAAGATGAATTGGCGCGATGCAGCGTAAAACGAACGTCGTAATTCCCGAAGAGAACATCGAGTGTATTCAGATTACGCTAATCCCCAAGAGATAATCGCTTCTAAATCCAAAGTCACGTGGTGTCAGCAGCTTTTACTGCTACCGAAAATTGACAGGGCTTAAATGTTTAGCTACTCTAATCCGATTTTGAATAAGATCACGTGATGAAACAAACTAATTTTGCGTTAGTAAGAGAGAAAGTGCCCTCTCCGACTTTCCAAAAAGTACAAACGATCAATTCTAGCGGAGAGAAGAAACACAAGAAAACGAAAATGCCTTCTGGTTCTTTTAATGAGAAATGCTGTAAAAACTTCCCATGTTGCCTAGTCTTCGAGTAGAAAGGCAAACAAAAAAATAAACAAGTATTTGCCAAGTAAGCCAAAAGCTGGAGATAAATTAATCACGTGACAACTGACAAACTACTCGCCTTCCAGTTCAACAAGTCAAACGTTTCATTCTAAACGGAACTAAATGTCAATAAGAGTTTCTTATACGATCTACCCTTACATGAAATATCTCTTTCCAGCTTTCTTCTCTTTCTTCCTTCCTCCAAATGCATTATAGTGCGTTGTTCGGTCAACAAATGGCCCCAAAAATTAAATTTGCATAAATAAAACTCTCTTTCCAGACTTATTCTAGTCACGTGACGTAATTAAGGCAAACAAAGAGATACTCAACCTTTTAAGAGCTCTAATCCGCTCTTGAACAAGCGGTCATTCGGTCAAATGATGCTGGAAATAAGAGACTTGGAGAGAGAAATTAGCGATTATTTCTCTACTTACTAATGAATGTTGTGCAATTCACTATAATTTCAAACAAGGAGAGTTCGATAAAACTTTCCAATTAACTAATTAATTGGATAAGTTCCTACCAAAACCATCAGTTATTGCGTTGCCCACTAAAAATACGACAAACAAATCACGGATAAATGTATATAACGAGTCATTGACGTCTTTAATGATCTTTTCTTGACTCGATTCTCATGTGAATTTAACAAACTGACAAACTCAGCTGCCTGCAAAAACATAACCTATAAAAAGATACAAAGTTAACTTTATCATCTTTTTAAATACAATAGACTTAGCGAAAAGGAAAATAGAATAAATCAACCAAAAAATAAAACACACTTAACAACAAACAACCAAGCTAAAACCTGCTTAATAAAATATTTAGTTACTGTTTTAAAAGCGGAATGAGATGATACGACAATTTTTTTTTTGCAACCAATCAAGAGAATCACGTGATTTGTTAAGTTTGTAGTTATTGTAAACAAGTCACGTAGAAGTATTTGACAACGTTGACGACCGTAATCTAATCTTGAATGCAGTCATATGACAAACTGACAGAGTTAGTTTTTGGTTTTTTCTCTCATTAGACTAATTAATAAGAAAAGAAGAGAGGAAAAGAAACAAAAGATAAAGATGAATATTATAATAGTTTAATTAAATTATTGAAGAGATGATATCCGTAGAGTAAATGTATAATAATTTATAATAAATAGTTCATAATGATGTATACAACACTACTGTAAATATCCGTTCCTACGTATTACATATCTATATAATATATCCTCAGTCTACACCTATACATAACTATATACTCTATCTATATGTATTCTCTACTGAACAACTGTTTTAACAGTATTGCATAGACAAATACACTCGTACACAGTTGGCCAGTATTTTCTTTTTCTTTTTCTTTTTACTTTGTACGATGTAAACTAAGTTTGTTAATTATATACTTTACAAGTTTCGCAGTTCGATAGGCCTATCTATATATTTTACTTATTAGAGAAGTAGACTTATGCGTTTGAGTTAATGATGTTTGAATGAATTTATTTATTAAAATACTATAAATCTACTGAGATCGTCGTTTCCTCTTTTTTTTACCGTATATAAAAAAAATTAAGAATAATGAGACAAACTATAAAACCAATTTCTCAAAAAGCTTCCCACGTGATGTATTTTAGTGCAATTAACTCAAACAAAAACTGGCTTACTCCTCTATCAGCTGACAAGCTCGACAAACTCGACAAGGCGTCGATTAGGCGTCACTCAGGGCACCTGCGTAAATTTTTCACCCGACGACAAAAAACACCAATTTGCTACTCGCATCACGTTCGGTGCGAATATCAGGCGATTCCTGCAGCGCCGTTGTTTGTCATGCGAAAACCGTCTACAACAATTTCCTGCTTCTGCTCCTTAGCGGTTTCGGACCTTTCCCATTAATGGATGGTTGTCTTATTAAATTTACCGGCCTACTTGAGGCATTAATTACAAAAGAAATAGTCTTCATATTGACAAAATCGACAGATGGCGCAGTAGAACAGTTTAAAGCCATCTCTAAAGAGAATAAACTCCAGAAATAAGATTAGCTAGATAGGATTTAGGGAAAAGAAACGGAAAAACGAGGAAGAGTAGTCATTTTCTTCCTTTCTCCTTTATGATTCATTTGGCGGCAGAGAAGAAGAAAGAGAGGGGAAAAGGCACGCGAAAAAGAGAAGGTTATCGACAGAAATATGCAAATGACTATTATGCAAATACTCGCTAAGATCTCTATTGGTTCCATTTAAAAAGAAAATACTCGGCGGGAGATGGCGTTAGCGCAACCTTAGATGTCGGTAATGTTCAAAGCGAATTTTGCATCACGAAACGTAATTACTACAATAAACTCCTTGTAATAAAGTAAAGGGGAATTTTTATGTGGATTATCTCGTCTATAAGTAGAAAGAACTTCAAAAGGATTCTTTGAACGACAACTTATTACTTTTTGCCTCAAATTCAATGAAGACTAGGCAAAAGAGGAGAATGAGAGGATAAAAAAAAAATTGAATTCTTAATTTTTCTACAGAAATTAATGAATCGTCTCTCTGTACATTCACTAATTCGCAATGAATATTCATGAGCGTGTCACAACTATCAAAAACATCTATATGGCAACCACATATCTAGAAATTCCCTAGAAACACGATTATCCATCTCCGCTGACTCTTAAGTAATACTTCAGTTAAATATTAGCAAATAGTCAACAAACATTTACTCTTCTGACTTGAACTGCTGCGTCACCTGCATAAATTAGCGTCTTTATAGAGAAAAAAAAGGGAAAACGCTGCCGGTTTCGATTTAACAAAATGCGTGATTTGCCTCAGGCTAAACATCTTCGATGAAAAAATTGAATAAAACGCGTCCAGCTGTAACGATTCTAATTAGACGCTGTTCGAGACGCTCTTAAGACGGTCGAGGGGCGTCTCTTTTGAGCAGACGAAAATAGTGGTTTAATTGCAGCACGATCGAATTTGTCTTGCTCGGATGTGTAATTAAATGTAGGGCAGATGAAAGCATCGAATTCGATTAAATGTTGTTATCACCTTGCAACGTTAACTAGGCGTACAGATGGCGTCTGCTTCATTGTTTTAGGTTTCGTGAAGAAGGTCGTAAAATACCGATACACGAAACTATAAAAGAATTTTAAAGAGACGAATTTAAAGTATTGAACAAATAGAAAAGAAAATGTGAAGGATTGAAAAGTCTATAAATCGAAAGATATTTATTAAAATATGCAAAAAGAGAAGAGTTTAAAGTATAAAATAGCATAGAACGGCAATAAAAAATCTGTTCAAAGTTGTCTACCTGACCGACTGACTGACTGACTATATTTTCTCTTTTGTAGTTTTCTTTTTATTACTATTAAAACACAATGTTTGTAGTTGAACACAACACCTTTAAATTTACTCGAGCGTTACTCTTTTATTACACTAAAATACAAAGGTAGACGGTCGTAATAGTTGTGTTTAAGTAACGAAATTAGCTTAATTCTCACTCTCTTTCTCGTTCCACTCTTTTTACTTAGAATACAAAAAAAATTTTTGCAATAGAAAGGGAGCTTTCAATGAAAAAATGGCAGCTGTTAATTTTCTATTCTATCCTACGGAAGATTAATTTTAGCTTATCTCATAAATTAATAGTTTTTGACAGGTAATTGATACATTATATAATTTTAATCAGAGTGGCAGGTTGCACTGTACAAAACTCATTAATATTCATAATCACTGAAACATTTACAGCAGGAATAATGATAGGATAAACTCGATTGAAATGTATTTTGAACAATTCAAACAAAGAAAGAGAGAGAGAGAGAGAGAGAGGAAGGGGGGAAGGAGCATTTAGTTTAATTGTTGTTTTTTTCGTCTCTTTCTTGAACGCTTGAATATTGTTATAATCGATTGAGAAAGATTTGCTAATTATAGATTAGAATATGCCAATATTAGGAGTTAATTCATCATTCGTATATCTTAAACAAGAAACTACATGTGTGCATACGCGAAGAATAGTACCAGCAGTTTGTCTACTGCAAACATCTGCAAGTGGCATTTGTTATTGATCTTTGCCATAATTAATTGCCGCTAAAAGATGTTAATAAGCACGAAATCCTTGAACACTAAAAATGGCTTCGTTAATATTCATTAAAAAATTTATGGGCAACATAATTACGAAGCTTTGCGGCTTTGTACTGCTGTCATTTGCATGTTGGGTTTATTATTCAGCGAAACGCTCCGATAAACTGGTAAATGCTATATTCATGAACTTTTTTTTTCAAATAAGCAACTTTTAACCTATGCTGACAGATGAAAAGGAAATATAATAGC